GATAGCTGATGTAATAAGGACATAGACTACGTTTGTTTTAGATTTTTTTTTATTCTAAATTCCACGCGGACGAAGTCGCGGGCACAGCTAGTTGATAATAAAACGAAAGGTTCGATGGGTCCGTTTAATGTTTTTCGAATATTAACACATCAAAGGACTTGAATACCGTCAGAAGAATCTTCAAGCTTGTGTTGTAATTGAGTTGACCGATATAGAGCGTGCGTCAGAATAGCCCATTGAAAATCGCGAAATAACATCTCAAGTCGCCCGTTTTTTTTACGACCGTACTTACATTCCGTTCGCGGAGTTGTTTGCTTCCAGTTGGCGGGCTGCAAAGTTCCCTCCGGTCGTGTTGTTCGACTTTTTTTCGCTTCCAGCCTTTCGCCGCGCAGTTTTATAGTCGACGCGGCGCGATCGCCTTATTTTCCCTCCCCGTAACGCGACGGTAACTCGCTATTATTTCGCGAAACTTTTCGAATTTGGCCCCTTAAGATATTACTCTATTGGTTTGTCAAACAGTTGCCGGCGGAGGGCGGTACCTCCGTTCCGAATTGGCCGGCCGCCTCGGAATATACAGTTCTCGGAATATACGGTTATGGAACGATCCGAGTGTTTTACGACTTTTACGTAATTGGTGGGGCTGTCATCGAAACTATTGGAGCGATGTTTGTTGTTACAGACTGACCTAAAACAAAACCGTCGTGTCTGCGTTTCCAAAAAGACTCTTTTGTTATGAGTGTAGAAACTTTTAGATGTGATGAACTTTTAGATGTGGCGATGTGAAAGCGAGGATTGTCTTCACTATAATGCTTTTCGCTAAATATATGCACTTCATAGTTTAAGGACATAGCGAACAGTTCAAATATATTCCGCAACGTCGACAATTCGCGAAGTCGAAGCAAACGGGTTATGTTTACAAAGAGCATGCAGACTGCGGGATCAACAAAGTCTTAGTGTGTTTTATGAGGTAGAAAATTTTAACTCCGCACCGTACCTCGCTCTATGATAATAAAGCCAATTGTGAAGCACGCGAAAGTACGAGTACGGGAGTAACTTTCGAGTACGGGAATTTCGTGCGACGCTATAAAGTTCGAGGGGGCGTGCTATTATTGCTAAATCGGATGCCTTTTGTTGGCTCGACTAATGTTTGTCGACTTGTAGCTTACCGGTGGACCGTGTCTTGAAAATTTTCGTGTTCGACTCCAAGGCTTGGTATTTTTTTATTATTATAGTAAGACACATTTCAATATGACGTTTATTTATTCTCGAATTGGTACTGTAAAGCCGTCAGTAATGAAGACGTTGTGTTCTCTCTAATTAATGACCATTTGAAATATAATTACCGTCGAACGGAGGTACCTAACTTAAATCATGATAACGAATTTCAAGAAAAAACTGTGGCACCTAGAGACTGCCGCGGTAAAGCTATTGCATAGCATTTTTTATCAACTTATGCAATTATAATTCTTAATTTATTTTTTATATATGCAGTATTTTTTTTTCTTTGATATTAATTCGAGTATTTTCAAGTTACACTTTTTGAGCGCGGTGACCGATAAGAAAACATTTTTTTTTATTTTTTCTTTTATTTCATAAATGAAAAGTTGATATCGTTTAAAATATTTTTATTATCTTACAATACATGTAGGTTATTCGAGAATTTTTATCATTGAAACTATAGGTTTATGGTAACTGAAATCAGAAACATAAGTTTGAAACTTGATATCATCATATGATAATATACTTTTATAATATAATATCCATCCGTGCGAGCTTCGTACAGTCGTACCATATACATACACGTTAAGCTACATGGTAGGCGGAGTGCGGGGTGTTAGGTTTTATTTTCATTACGGAATTTCTTGATTCGGTCGCCGCGCTCAAAGCCCGCGATAAAAGTTTTCCAATAGCTTAAAAAAAAACGTTTTTAAAGAAAAGTTAACTCATATCTCCACTTATTTAATATATACCTACTATGTAAAATTTTCTGTTAGTTATTTAACTAACCTAAAGTGAATCTTGTAATAATATTCACTTGTATATTGTAATATTCTTAAAAAAATAGATATATAGACAAGATAGTCCTAGAAAAAGTAAAAATTTCTTTGAATCTAAATTTTATATAGAAATAACCTAACAGCCAACAATATCACAAAGCGAAACAAATCATGTAACCTAATAGAATATAACCTAACATATTGCCCAACTTGCGTTCCGTTTAGCATCAAGTAACCGGTGGAGTCACGTCTTTGATGGTGTTTGCAGAAGTACACCGCGAATTTACATTTAGATTCAGTCGAGGCACGATGTACATTGTCGGGACTGCTAACTTACATAATCTCTGCTTATAGCCACTTCTCTTGTTGTTTGCGGGTGGCGTTAATCTTTGGTCTGCTCGACACCGCTTCCGGTGCTGTTTCAGTTTCTAGTTTCTACCCGCAACTGGGCGACTGTACTTTAGCGACTGTACCAACGGGTGTTGTGGACTGTGGTACATCAAATCGAGCTGGCGTATCCCCAGACATGTCTTTCAATGATTGCGCAAAGTTTATACTACTTTTTGGACGGTTTGTTTGAATGAGGGTAGCTCGTGGCGAATAGAGTCAGAAATTTCTTCTATTAATTCTAATATCTATTTAACGTTATGTTTAAGTACGACGCTGTCCGTTCCTGCAAATCATTGAGCACGATGAAATCAGAAAAGTAGTTGTACTAAAGACAGATATAGGGCTGCGTGTACTTTGCAGTTTACTCTTATAGTATATCGAAGGAAATTAACGGATGATATGATGATTTTAAAATTAACTAGGTATTTAATATACGAATATTCATTGTATGTTTTATAATTGCATATTTTGATGATAAACAACCCCGCGATAGACGGAGCTATTTCCACGAATATTTAATTTAGAAATAATAGGACGTCTAGACATGTTTACCGATGGCCTAGAATATAATAATCTTTAGCTATTTAATTTCGTCCTCAACCTTCGTCGGGGAACATGCAGTGCGTTAAACCCATTTGACTTGGTAATATTTATTCAACGATTCAACTTTTAAGTTATAAACCGACTAGACTGCGACGGAAGCGTGGGAGTTGTTTATATTTCATAAAGATATTATATCGAGTAAGCATCGAATGCTAGTTGTACTGGTCCGATATAAACGATGAAAAGGATTTGTTATTATGTATATCTGAATTTAAATAACACCCGTAGTATGCTTTCGCTATAGGGACTTTGTGTGTTTTGAGGCGATAAAAACATCTCGATAATTCTAGAAGTACCGTCGACCTGATGATTATCGTCCGATTCTAAAGAGAATTTTCTGCTACCCACACCGTTGTGGGACAGCGACAAGATGAGAGTAAATCTATTTGGCGACGCCTACAACAATCTAAGAAACAACGGTTTATATTAAAAACCCGTGCCTGCGATGACTTCAGATGCTCTTTAAATAGCCAGAAAGGATCGGTTTCCAAATTTAACCGGTTCCTAATCTATATTAAAAAAATGTAATTCCAAAATAAAACTAATGTTGTAATAATAAAAAGGTCCGTAATGGTTGGTATCTATGTTGCGCTATAAACAGCGGGGACTCTAAAAGGTGGACGCACCCATAAAAGTGAGCCCAGACGGACTGCATTATGCTTTTATAAGGCAATAAATTGAGACTGAAAGAGTTATATCAATACATTCTCAAGGGCCAATTGCGTTTGAATTCAGATCGGCCGTCCTCGCGGGGAAGGAATCTTTTCGGATGGACGCCGACTCAATTGTGAGGAGGCGTATTTCTGAATGGTAAGATTTACATACGGAATATTTCGATGTATACCGTTCACGTTTTATAGACGGTAATAATGTTATAAGCACTAAAGTTCGTGTGGATGATCATTTTGGCCAACGAAAAGGCGGTTCAACTGCATCCAGCCACTTATTTAAAAGTGGCAACGCATCTGCAACCTTACGGGTGTTGCAAATGTCCATGGGGGGCGGTAATCACTTAACATGTGGTGAACCGTAAGCTCGTTTGTCACTTCCTCACATTAAAAAAAAATCCATAGCCTTTCAAAAACACTTCTTAACTCACAAAATATATGATGTCTGGTGGGGGTTTTCTGATGGGATTAACCCTCGGGTGCCGCTTAGTTCTTTCTCATGGAATGTATGCATGTATAAATCTTCATGCACTACGCTTGATTGATATCCGGAATGGGACCAGCTAACTTGTCCGCGTCGAAGTCGCGGTCGACCGTAGCGATGCCGCCATGTGCACTCGTCGTTTGAGTTTCGTAGTTCGTGCAAGCCGAGTGAAGCTCGATCCAAGCACGAGATTCAATAAACATCGCTCGGCGGGGCATAAAAAACCGCCTATCGGCAGTCGGCACACATCGGATTCGCTACGTGACCCGCTCTCTAAGCGGCTCGCACGCGTTCACGGCAATTTTCTGCCTAATCGCGACCTGTCTCCCGGAGACGTTTCGCATAACTGTCAACTACCTTCGCGTCTCCGCTCTCTACTGTCTCAAATTTGAAAAAAAAATCAGACGTGCTACCCACGATAAACCAACTACGCTCTCTGCCACCTCAAATTGAGAAGAGTCTGAAGTGGTAAGGCCACGCAACAGACGCGCACGAATGGGCAGGTCCGCCCGGGAAAGTACCACGAACCCACAGAAGACTCGCGTGAGTGGAAGCGTTACATTTCGGAGTTCCGTTCATTATTCGGAAAAAATGTTAGGGAATACATCCGCCTTTTTGATTTTTCTTTTTACAATTTAATGCACTCGGTGACACTCGCACAATGAGGACGAATGTAATCATCGAAATTGGTTCAGCCGTTTAATCGTCGCAAGGGACACATAGGCACAGAGGCCAAACACACGTCATACATTAGTTGTAAGGGTATAAATAGGTATAGCCAAAGAGGTTAAACACATAAAATGTTTTTGGTTTCGCCGCAGTCAGGATAAAGTGCACAATCTAGCGAAAATTTAATCAGCTGTAGTTGAGTGTAGGCGTTTCGGTGTCGCCTCTGCGCGGTTGCTCTGTGGCAACCTTCGCCGTCGAGCCCGCGTAGCCGTTCTCCTCGCGCCCATTACGATGCAGGAAGCCGCCGGAGGCTCTAGCATTCAATTTATCTTCCCGAAATCGTAAATTTCACAGTAATGACGCTTTGCATCCGCCACACTCGGAATTATTCATGTTAACTCGATTTTTTTTTTCGCAAAGAACGCGAGCCGCCTTTCGGTAAACGTTGTATATGCGAGCGAGAGTCAAATAAGCTATTTGTCTCTCGCTCGCATATACAACGTCGTCAATTAAGTCGTATTTTTCATTCGCGGAGAACTTTACTACCGTATTCGTACCTCCCTACGGTAGTTACTATCACGGTTCCGTTGGTAATGATATCGCGTAAGCTATTAAACCATTTTCACATATTACTTAGACTACATAGTTCGCAAGTGATTTATGTAAAAGAAAAAAAAAATATAATGAAGAAATTTTAAAGATTAAGTACAATGAAATACGCATCGGAATTCGTGATCCTTGGATGTGTTATACAACTATGGAGCATAGTTTCTAATGCCGCGTAGTTTTATATCAATTACAATTTAATAACTAAAACAAGTAGCGATACAATTCGCAATTTATCGATACGTATCGTAACACACAAGCGCGAATCTACCCACGCGTCTGGAAAAAACATTTTCAAATTCCTGTATAGAAGAGCTCACCGCAATACACTCCGGGGAGTGCCTGGACCCAAACGCCGTATATTGGTGGCAAAGCCGCAATATAAATACAAATTTGCGCGGTATTGATCGTCTAGACCTGGGAAGGACAGCGCACTCTTAATAAATACCCGAAATACCTATTGCTCGGATAGGAAATTGGTTTGTTATTAATGCTCCGAACACTCGAGCGAAACTGGAACCCTCATAGGTCACTGTTCGTCCGTCTGTCTGTCACAGAAGATTTTCTTGTCGGCCTTCTTGGCGACTTCATTGCTGATGATAAGTTTCCGTCCTAAATTCCGTACAGCTATCGACGTTTCGCCACTGACCACTTTATACAATTTATATATAATCACTAAAAATTGCATCAAAAATAATAAGTAATATTGAATCCAATTTTGAAACAAAAACTGATAGTTTTTGATTTTGTTCAATTAGCCTTACCTAACTAGTAGCCTTCGTTTATAATGTGGGTAGTTAAACTACATATACAATTGCAATATTTTGATCGGATTAGTATCATAAGTAAAGATTTAAAATACATATGACTTTTATAAGTGCTGTTTTCCATATGAAAATTTGATTTCGTAATATACCCATGGTTGGACCTTTAAGAACAAAAAATCTTTCGCTTGTTGCGATTGGTGGCTGGCGAATCGACACGATAAGTCTGATTACCATAAAAATCACCTGTTCGGAGACCAGCTGTTCCGCAGGTGAGTTTGATCGGTAAACAAATTTATTCTTAATAGACTTGTGCAACAAGCTTCGCCCTCGACTCCACTCGCATAGTCCCACATATTGACGCATCGTGACTGAATGTATCTGCTACAACCGGGCTGGAGAATGTATAAAGAGGACCTTGTTAGTTAGAGTCTTCACACAAACGGACACGTAGATAAATAATTTATAATGTTTATGAATTCAAAATCGAAATTATGAAAGACGTTGTAGATGTTAGCAACGATTTGCTTGTTTCGTGACGTATTTATGAATACTATTCTGTTTAATATTGGTTTGGAGTTCATGATATATACGCTCCTGTTCTGTTCATGAGAATATTCATAATCTAAACTACTTACTTCTGTGCTATAGCCATAAAGTAATCGAAACAGTTGGTAATTAAAAGATTAGTAATGTTAATAGGGTTTCGTAATACACGAGAAATTTAAACCTACTAACAGTTTCGCGGATAAGCGCGTTAAAAAATACAAAACTGCAGTTTTATTAATACGACATCAAGTAAACGACCCGCCTCTCCAGTTTCGATATCGCCACAACTGCATAGAGCAATTTTATCTAACGATATAGTTACTTGCAGCGAAAGGCGTCCATTCAGATCTGGTTAATATTAAGTTTCACCTCGAGCTAAGTGGCTAATAATCGATAATTGTAATGCCCCGTGTTCGGTTCCTGTTTGCAGCCACGTTTCTAACTTGACCTAGTGGCGGCGGGAACTGGATTATCTGTAGTGTAGTATCATTTGATAATTAATTCTTAGCTGGCTGGTTAACTTTTATAGTAAGAAACGTACGTATATATATCGGCTTATTAGAATAGCGCTGAATTTCGTTAGTACAAGAGCGTTGGTAGCGTTCCAGTGGTTACTAGTAACAGTAGAACCTCTCGTCTATTGTGAAGAAATCAGAAGATATAATAAAAATATGAGAGTGTCGTTTCATAATTTGCCACAATTCCGTGACGGGAAAAGTATAGGGTTTGACGTAACCGAGAATTGACGGCTGATTAAATCCATACGCGACTGTGCCGTCGGGCCCGCACATCCACCGGCTGCCTCGCATCGCGTCAAACGGAGCTGTCTGTAACTTCCTATTGAATTAATTCAACCCCCTCCCCTCCCGCATCCCGTTAACGCTCAGCCCCCGGCTTATCAGGTGAACTATAAACATGCCAATAGTATACACGGCTCATCCACTCAAATGAACACCGCTTTGTGAACATCAGAAATGTTGTGCGAATTCGCGATGGCTCTTATCGTGCGTCGGAATCCCGCAATCGTATCGCCGAGATGATTTGCTACGAATATTAATGTGGCACATCTGAAATGTTTTGTTGCTCAGAGAATATAGTGTCTTATTCGCTTGGATGACAGTAAAGATGTTCGGTTTATCATCGATTTCCTATATCAATGCTGATACTCTTTGTTGCGCGATAATTTTTAGAGACATAAGCTAGCTGACACGTTTAGGCCTTAGAGAGCGACGAGCGAAGAGAGAACCTATCCAATCCATGACTAAAGACGTAACAGTTTGTTTTTCAAACAGGATATGAACAAACGTAAGCTGATACTGTTTGAGACACCCCGTGACGCAGGTGCCAAGGTATTGGCTCTGGCGTTAGTGGGTCGTGGGCTCGATTCCCACACGGGACAACTATTTGTGCGGCCCACAGATAGTTTTTTCGGATCTGGGTGTTTGTCCACGAGAAATTTATGTTTGCTTAAACGTCCATACACCACAGGATAATGGTATTCCAAAGTAAGTTTAAAAAAATTTAAATTGCGTCCCGGGCTAATACCGCCAATTCTAAATCATTAATCTGTGATCTGGAAACAAAGCAAGAACCAGACAAAAAGGGTAGAGGACGATCGGTGGGAACGATGGTCCCGTAGTAGTTGATTATTAATAAAACAACGACGAGACACACTTGGCCCTACCCACAGCGGAGGGCCCAAACCCGTGGGTTCTGGCTAGCCCGCCGGTTCTGCGTCAGATGAAGCTTTAATAGTCTCGGGACTGAAAGCAAAAACATCAGTTAATACAAGATACAAGAACGACGAGACAAATATTTAAGTCACGAGCGTTGCATTCGGAAATAGCTCAGAATTTACAGCCCCCATTCAAATTAGAGGCTTTTAAAGGAATTGGCGCGGGACCCCGCGTCGAATCAAACACTGGCGCGGGCTGTTGTTTTTTTTTTCACCCCCGCCTTTTGGCAGAGACATGACACCGAGCAACCTCAGTGGCCCTCCACAGGCGCTGCTCGGCTCTTGGCTCGGTTTCAAACTTAAAACGCCTCACAAAAAGGCGGGATCCGAAGACAACCGCCGTCAAGAGCGATGAGAAGAAACGCTCCGCGGGCTCCGCGAGAGAAATTTCGCAAACGCCCGTCGGGTTTTCAGTTTTTATTTGTGAGCTCCGCGGGTTGGACGAATGAATTCAGAGGTAGAAGACCTTTAGTCACGAGTGTCCATTGTCTTTTCTAATTCTCGCACTCTTTTATTAATTTCAGTAGGGTTTATTTTGAGTCTCGTCTCGTACATATCCGTAACAAAAAAATAGTCTCACCTACGACTGACATTAGATTAAGAAGATCTAATACTACTATAAAAAAAGACTAAATAAAATCGTAATTTTGAAACTAAATAAAAAATATACATATAGTAACTATATTCTCTTACTGTATTAAGTAAGAACTAACAGAATTTCCTCCACCTCCATCTCAAACAAAGATTTAAACCGTTGACAACTGATTCCGCACCGATGAACACAACCAAATAGTCCCCGCCGGCTGAAGGCGGGCCCTTTACGAAATAAATCAGTTTGGATTTCTTAATGGCAACTGCGCACTGATAAATTACCAAAGAGCGGAATGGATACCAAAATAATATTCGTACGAAACGTGAGAGGAGTTTTTGTCATCGACATTGCGTTGACTTGTGTTCGCTGCAAATGGAAATCTCAATTTAATTGACGTTAGAATAAATTCAGTTTAAAAGACTTCCAGAAGGTTTGAAATCCTTAATTAAATTTCCATAACCTCCAAAGTCAGTCAATGCAACAACTAAGTAAGGCGCCTTGCAAAACGTAAAAACTTATTGTGTATAATATAAGGCGATAAGACAGCGTAATTTTTTTAAATAGAATACTTAGGTCACCATAGTCACCATAGTCATAGAATACTTAGGCCACAGGTTATATATTTATCACACAAGTTTCGTTTTTATCACACAACTAAAAGGCATTTCAGAAAATGTACGTGAATATAATTTTCTTTTACATTGCCACAATTTGGGACCCAAGCGGGAATTATATTTAACTGCCTCGAGCTACCCACTTTGTTTGAAACATTTGTTGATTCGTCTGATGGCTCATTCATTGTTCCTAGACTACATGTTAAATTAATTAAATCTAACTTTTTCGTTCACTAAAAGTCCTTTAATAACGCCAACGTCGCTTACAGTAGCAAATTAATAGGGCTTCGAACTTGCGACTTGAGAATGATATCAATACAGTAACAATACGGTGGTAGGGCCACGCAGCAGCCTCGGCTGTTGCACAAATAGGCAGGCTCGTCCGGGTAAGTACCACGACCTCACAGAAGATCGGCGTAAAGTGGAAGTATAAATACTTTCACGTTTCATCTGGTGAGTAAGGTGTCCGGAGTTCAAAAGGTTGTCAATTCTGCAACCCTCTAGTATAGCAGATGTCCATGGGCGTCGGTATTTACATAACATCAGGTGAACCGTCTGCTCGTTTGACAACTTTTCACATAAAAAAAAAAAAAAACAATCAATCCAAAAAACAACACAAGGTGCTGATGATTTTAAAGTTGCTGTTGTGAAGCAAAAGCCTGATTAAATCAGTACATAGTATAAAACAAAGTCGTCCCGTTGCTGTCTGTCCCTATGTAAGCTTAGATCTTTAAAACTACGGCCGTGCAAAGCCGGGGCGGGTCGCTAGTCAAATATAAATTATAAAAAGAGCGATTTTGACTTTAGTTAAATCGACAATAGAGGCCAACGGGCAAGATTTCGTAACAGACACCGCGGAGTGCGTCCAAGGTTGAGAGTACGCCCCGAGCCATTACAATGGCAGATAAAAATTATAAATACACTCGTAACACCAACCGGTTCGCTCTCGATAAGTAACGCGGATTGTACTCATACCGTTAGAGCAAAAATGTTATTTTTTAACAATTACATTTATAGCCTCTTTCGTCCCAACGAAAACATTCACGATCGACAAATTTGAATTAGCAATAAACAAGATGGTACTGTTCGGAACTCGTATGCAATAAATAGACTTTTAAATAAGTGTGCATTTATAAACTCAATTTTGCTTACGATGCTCACGATAAATTACAATTAGCTAAATATATCAATGTAATAATTGTGACATATTTGCAGAAAAAGAAACGTCGATTAGTCACACCGTTTTGGTAAAATTTACAACATGTAACTTAAAATGATATACCGTTCGAATTCTGTTTTGCCGACATTACCAGTGGTACAATCACGCACGCGAAGAAATAGGCTCATTTTTTCTCCCCATTTTACGTGGAGCCGCAAATAATAGGCTTCTGGTAACGTAACGCAGCAGAAGGTGAAATGAAGGTCCCGCGGGTACAAACGGGAGGTAAAAACTCGATCGGTCATGTTTTGCAGCCCGACAAAAAGGCGCAAATAAATTGCGAGCTTTGTGCACAATGCTAGACTTATTGCCTGCACGTTTACGTCGCCGGCTCTGTGGGAATTTTGTTTTTTGTCCCTTTTATTGCACATAAATAGAAATTGGGCCAGTGCCTTTAAAGTTGGCCGAAGTTTCGAAAGACTATTGACGTTCTCATAAACGTATTTTTAATTTATATTGCTGCGCTTAATTGTAAAGTTAATGTTAAAGTATCGCCTAAGATACCAGTTTTAAACAGGTTATTTACTTGTGCCCAAATCATAAAACAAACATAATCGCCAACTGATTACATATTTATTTGAAGGCGGTTCATAATTAGTGAATTGTGGAACAAATTATTGACCTACTTTAAATGCCATATCTGCAAA